CACACACATGTTACCAGACTAATCTTGTAAAGCACCCATAACCAAGGTCATTGGCATTCCAGTAACCTGAACCATCGTCACAGGGTGGATGTCAACAATTATCATTTCAACACTGAATTCTGGATCCCAATGAGTTTGGTTGATGGAGAAGGACAGCATGAGCATGTTGTTTTTTGACATACAGATTTTTCAGTGTTGCAGTCCTGCGATCTTGATTCAGTCTTAGCTTGCAGCAAGGACTAGCAGGTTGGTCGAACTTTGTTCAGCTTGACGGAATGGCCCTTTGCCATTTTCACTGATTTCCTGCACAGGGAAGTGAAAGGGTAGCAGATACTACACACACAACGTGGCAGGCAGTAGAGCTATGGTAAAGTCAAGTAGGCTCATTGTCGCGAGCATGGAGAAAAGTCTTCACAGAGGTCACATAGGCAAAAGTATAGACGCTCAAGTGATAGTAAAAGCAACGCTGGTTCAGTACTTCTGTAAGGACCTTCCCAAACACAAACTGAGAACAAAGCTGATTTCTGAGTTTTGCCGCTAGAATGAATGCCTTGCCGAGATTCCCGCTTTCTGCTGAGTTTTCAAAGTCTGTGTGTGTGCATGCTTGCTGGTCTGCGTGCCGGTCTGAGTGCTTGTCGGCTTGAGTGTGTGTGTGACCCGCAAGGGTACTTGCTTGCTTGGATGGCCTGTAGGGCCAGTACTTACCTGTGGCCGTGACATTGAGGGTTACAGCGGGGAAAACACCCAATTAGCGGGAGTGGGCAAGCGACACTTAGAGCAGCGGGAAAAACACTAAAGTAGCAGGTAGGCCGGTACCACTCAAGTAGCAGTAGATGTGTCGGGGGCCGTGGAGGCCAAGCAGAAAACAAAAGTTGGCATTTTTAGAGGCCCAGTCGTTGTAGGTGAGGTCTAGGCGGGTACCAGTCCAAGTAGTCTGAGTCTAGGGCCTGTACGGGCAATATCAGAGTCTGCAATGATGTTTCCCTCTGAAAGGGAGTAGGTACCATTTGCTTGGAGGCCGCGCGGCCTGGAAGTCACCACCCAAGAGGCAAGTTGGCCGCTATATCTCCAGGAGGAGCGAAGTGCTCCTCCTCATTTTTCTGCGTGGAAGTTTGGAGTCACGCTGCTGGAGCGCTGGTTGGAGTGCTGCTGAGTCCAGCGCTGGGGAAGAAGAAGAGCGCTCAGCTCTCCGCATCGGCTATGGTGGAGGAGCTTGGGCTGGAGGAGGAGGAAGAAGAGGACTAGGAAGGGGGAGCGCCAGGGGTACTTCACTGGCTATGGTGGACACCATCTTCATCACCTTGGTGGGTGCTGTATCTGGAAGACCCCTTTCAGGGTAGAGCGGCATCAAGAAGCTTCGAGGCAGAATCAGGCATGGCGGCCTGAGTAGGAGCAGCCATAGCTGCTTTGTGTCGTCTTTTGCACGTTAGGGCAAGGCCCTACTAGTCCGCCACAGCCTCAGCCTTCATGAAGACGAAGGAGAAGGGCGGCCATGGCTATGGTGGACCTCAAGTTGTGCTGGCATTAGAAGAGGGATTTGGGCATTGATTCTGCTTCTGCCATACATCATTGTTATTATGATTTATTGTTTGAATAAGAGCGGTGGAGAAGAGGAGGAGGAGTTTGGCTGGCGAGGAGAAGGGGAATTATCATTGGTCTTTGCTGGTGTACATCTTCTTCTTCTTCTTCTTCTTCTTCTTCTTCTTCTTCTTTCCTTCGCTCTCCTCTCAAGTTCGTTCATTTCTTTTTGCAATTGGATGGCATTGTGCTTTCCCGTGAAATTGGCCAGGATCGTAACACTTCGTAAGATCAGAGTGAGAGAGCAAATACTGGTGTTCCCATAGATGTTTCAACTGCAGCCAGCAGCAGCATCTTCAGGGGTAGCAATACTGTTGGAGATGGGGAGTCACCCATCAGTCATATACTAAACTGGGCTACGGATAGGAAAATGGTCCGACTCGAACGCTACGGACCAATTGCGATATAAACACAATACAGCTTTTCTTTCTCAGACGGACCTTTTGCATTGATCTGCTTCTTATTCAAGGGTATCAATATCTATAGAAGTCGTTCCTGTTTGTCTATCCCCAATAATTTCTCTTCCGGAATCGATCTCCTCTCTCTCTCTCTCTCTCTCTCTCTCTCCCTCTCTCTCTGTGTGTGTGTGTGTGTGTGTGTGTGTGTGTGTGTGTGTGTGTGTGTGTGTGTGTGTGTTTGCTGACTTGCATCTCATTTGGAGGCACAGAGTCCCACACGTAGGCCATCAGGTACTGTGCAGCTGTCGTCATGCTTGCTTCATTAACTGCGGTGCTACATCGTAGACTATTCTGGCTGCTAGCCCCCTAGAGGCATTTTGTGTCGTCGCCGGGATTTGCTAACTGGAGAGCCTCTGACATATCTGTGTCCAGACCCTGGTGTACTTGTGTGAGTAGTTCCGAACTCCGTGATTGAAGATCTCTGTGGGGTGCGCCTGCAGCCTAAGTTGCGTCTTCAGCATTAAATACAAGTGCCAGCTCTGCATAGCTGGGTGTCATTGTGTTGCTGACGATCCGGTGCTTCTGAAAGACTTGAAATTCTGCGGTCTCCGATAGCTCAGTGGCCCTCGTTACCCCAAAGACTGTGATAGCTGTTTGCTCTCAACCAGCAGGTGATTTCTGGTGGGTCAGTAGTTATCAAAACCCTAGTACCCAGAAAATTTAACATGCAGGCCCGCAGATGATTTCACACGCAGCCTGCAGGCCCTTTTTGAAGGGGGAATAATCACATCTGTGCAACAGCATACGAGTTCAGCAGCTTCAGCCTGAGTGAATGTGACCACTGGTCAGCAAGAAAGCCGACTGTGATGGACAAGGGTGAAACAGTACACCTCATATGCATGCATACATCCATTCATGCATGCATGCTTTCGTTCATGTGTTCATGCATGCCTGCATGCATTCGCTCATGCATGCATTTGTGAATGGATGCATCAGGCATCCATTCACGCATGAATGCATGCATTCGTTCACTCATGCTTGAATGTACAGTGGTTTGAATTTTAAATGTGTCATTATTGTCACATCGTTTTCTTTTCTGTCTTTCTTGAACAAGTAAGGAAATAACTTTATGCCTATGTTCTATTCTGAGTAGCAGCAGTCCATGTCCCGTTCGCCTGGGAAGCCCTTTTCAAATCAAAATTTAATAAAAAAAATAGTACAGCAATAGTCCGAATACCCATGTGACACTCATCGAGAGGCTGTGGTTCTTTCTTCCTTGCTGCAGAGGCATCTCAACGACCTCCTCTGGGAGGCTGACATTTGTCTTCCCTTGTGTTTTTTAACTCGTTTCGAGTCTTTTGCGCAGGGGCCATGCTAATCTTCTCTGTATCATTCCAATTTTAACGGATGTCCCGAAGGATGTTATTCCTCCTTCCTTTTTCTTAAAAAAAAAAAAAAAACGGGCGACAGCCTTAAGATCTCATCATCGAACTGACCAGCCCTCGGTAATTCAGAATTGTAACATTTCACTCATCTGCTTCCAGTGGAGTTCGAACTCAGGTCTGTATTTCAACAGTTCAGGGGTGTACCAACTGAGCGAGGCCAGTTGGTACAATGCCACCTGCTTTTTGGGTTTCTCTAACACTTGTACCAACGGCACCTGCTTTTTTTGTTTCTCTAACACTTGCTTTTTCGCATGCAGGTACAACTGTGAAAGGCGCAGTGGATGACCTGGACTGTGTCATAGCTACCCTGGAGCGATGCGGTTATCCGCGTGATCGCTTTTACATCCACTGTGATGGAGCTCTTTTTGGCCTCATGATACCCTTTGTCAAGAAGGTGCGTGAAAGGGCTGCACTTCATCTGCAGATATGATGGGTTTTTTTTCCCACTTCAGAGAGTTTGTGCATTTGATTCACAAAGTCACAGTTTGTTTTCATGAACGCTTTTTCTTTCTTTTTGAAGTTTTTCTCCCTTTTGGTTTTTGTCAACTTGATCAGGAGATCTCTCTGTCAAGATGCTTACGTGTGCGTTTTTTAAAATTTGCCCCACAACAGCCCCTGTTCCATCCAGACGAGTGGATTCGAGTTGAGCCAGCTCAACACCTCTTTAGCAAGCAACATGAATCATAATAGAATCGTTTAGAACTGTGTTTAGCTGGGGTCTCTTTGGGGCAACAGCTCCTCTTTTACTATGCCTCCCACGTACAAGGCTGCCCACGTTGATGGTGGTTTAGCGGCAGCTGCCCACATCCCTGTGTGCCTTAACAGCCCACTTGCACGTTATAACAGGAGTCGAAGTAAAGGGGAAGGTATGCTCCTCTGTATTTCACTGCAGATCTTCATACTCCTGTTCATTTTGCTTCAGATGTGTGTGTGTGTGTGTGTGTGCATGTGCGTGTGTGCGTGCATGTTACCGCACGTGTGTGAAGTAAGGACACAGCCTGACTTCGTTATTCAGGGTGACTGTCCTTCAAACTCTCGGCAACTGTCTGCATTGTTCAAACCAATGTTCCATTGAAATTACCTTGATATGGTGATAATTCATACTTGAGGCGGACTGCATGTGCGGTGCACTGTGCACTCGCACGCAGTGTGGCGCACCCCCTAAAATAGGGGGTCCAACAAGAAAGACAAGAAAGAAAAAGGCGGGGGGGGGGGGGGGGGGGGATGCTCAGCTCCCAAAAAAAAAAAAAAAAAGCCACGGTCAACGTCGGCCCCAGTGCGTGTGTGTATTGGGCGTTTTCTTTGATTCCTCAAATTTGCACCATCCTTGATTTGTCCAGGTCGTTTGCTTTTCAGGAGAATGTATGCATCGCTGTTTATGGTCAGCTACAAGCTACTCCTCTTCATGAACCGCGGAGTCGCTGTCAGCGATCTCTCTCTCTCTCTCTCTCTCTCTCTCTCTCTCTCTCTCTCTCTCTCTCTCTGACCCCCTGACACGTGCTATCTTCTCACACGGTATGTCTGGGGGTCAAAGAGGGAAGAGAGAGAGGGACTGTAGGATGCTGAGTCCTGTACACGAGCCCTTTTTCTTAGGGCCCGACGATTGTTAGGGGCCCCCAGGCCGCACGCCTTTGTTTTGCTGTGCAACCTGGAGGCCCACGGCCATTTCCAGGCTAGGCATGTTAGAGCACTAGTGTAGAGGTAGAGAATAGGCTTAGGAGGACCATATGAGGAAACGGGGTGAATTATACTTCATCTCAGAGTCCGGGCCACTCAGGTAAGTGTCGTGCACCTAAGGGTTGCCCATGTGTGCATGCATGGTATTGTTTGTCCTGTTGGGCTACTTCTGGGTCTCTTTTCTACTCCTCTGTTGTCTTGGTTGTGTGCATTGGTGTGCAAACTGCTTACTAACCTGATGGATGTAGAGATGAAGTATCTTGCTTTGAATGGCATATCTTTCTACAGTGCTTTGTCGTTTCATTTTGAATGGATGTAGTCTGTCGGTTCTCTCTTGAAGTTGTAATTCGTTTTTCAGTACGGTAGAGGCAGAAAGTAGGACTCTGAGCTACTCTTCTTGCTTGGGACTTGGTCGCAACCTACATGGGACCCATTGGATTGAGTGGGACCAGGCCCAAACAAGAAGGGCCCCTTGGACTCAAATCTGTTGGCGCAGTGTCGCTCTCTTTTCTGTCTGGAATTCGTTGCGTTTCTTTTTTATTAGAGCACTCATTGTCGAGGGATCTCGACTGAGATGTTTTGCGGACTGATGACGCACAATCCAATGCTTGACCTGTACCTTATACACCACTCAATTCTCCATTGCTGTATGTTGTCACTTGTAGTGACCTGTACCTTATACACCACTCAATTCTCCATTGCTGTATGTTGTCACTTGTAGTCTGATTTGTTGTACTTTGACGGTGATGATCGGATTAGGCTCGAGGGGATCTCGTACTTGGTCAGATAGGACTAAAACACGAAGTCGAAACTCTCTTCTGAATTATCTTTATTTTTTTTATTGGTTGCTCTCTAGTCCAAATCTTTTTCCGCTCCGGCGAGTTCTTTTTTTTTTTTTTTTTAAAGGCTAATTCTTTAAGCCCAACCAATTCAATTACCTGTCAAATCTGGACAGAACGGCCTTTCAGGCCTTTTTTATTGTCATTATAGTATTACGGGGAACCCCGTAGCAGCCACATCCGTGCTCAAGCCTCCAACGGGGGAACATGTGGGAGCTGCACCCACCAGCAGGTGCGATACCTGCTACAGCAGGTGGGCGATATCTACCTTCTCTTTTGTGCTTTCAATTTGTTTCTTTTCACTGAAGTCCATTGTATGCCCGTAGCGATGCACGGACAAGAGAAAAGAGAGAGAGAGGTCAGGGCAACAAAAGGATCTAGTAGCTCTAAAATGGAATCAGCCAAGCTTTCTGATATTCTAAAGGCTCGTTTGGATGCAGCGGATGAAGAAGATAAACCGTTGTACCAGGCCCTCTATCAGAAGGAAATGGCCAAGGAGAAAAAAGAGGAAGAGGCCAAGCGGAAAACAGTCGCTGAAGAGATTAAGACCATTTTTAAAACAGTCTTAACCATGCCTGATGCAAATATTAAGAAAGATCTGGTCAAGTGCGTACGTGCCCTCGTAGATTACCATTTGCTCAGCGAGCTCCCGAGTTTAGAGTCCCAATTACTCGATGAAATGAGTCAGATGCGTACTCAGTTGGCAGATATGGGCCATCGTATAGCCAAGGAGCATCGCGATCAGATACAACAAATGACAATCATGCATCAGGCCCAAATTTCAAGCTCTCTTCCCCGACCTCTTGCTACTAGGAGTTCTACATTTGCACCTCTCCATCCTTTTTCTTCTTCTTCTTCTTCTTCTTCTTCTTCTTCGTTGAGTTTGGTGGTTAATCAATCAGGACCTGCAACATGTGCAGTTCTCGCTGCGCTACAAGTGACAGCGCAGGAAATTTTGCAACTGCTGCAGCCCTGAGATCGGACCCAGCAATGGCTGGTCCGATCTATAATAGTCCATACATGGACAAAAAGGCGGTGATGATACCGTTCAGATACTATTGCAAGGAAGATGTTGAGTCCTGGATCAACTTCATGAGAGCTTACTTTGAGGTACAGGGCACTCAAAGAGTGAACCAGGCCTTGATCCTAAGGACGAACGTCGAAGCTATCATAAGGGGCTTCCTATAAGTCCAAGCTATGCAAGTTGGGTATCCTAAGGTCGATCTAACGGAATGGCTTAAAGTCACCCCAGCTACCACTCTCGAAGAGATACTATTACACAATACAAAGACCCGCATGTTGCAGCTAGAGTAATGATCCAACTTGATGAACTTGACCGCAACAAGTGGCAGGGCACCATGCACAAATTGCAATTGCATGTCGGCAAACTCTTTGCGACACCAAGATTGGAACTGACAATGCAATCCTGTTTGGATGTTGTTAAAAGGTACGGTTCTCATTCACCAATCACCTAGGCAAGGATTTCTTTGGTTATACTGACTGGTTTTCCTTGATGAAGGATGTAGTTAGTTTAGAGGCAGGAGACCTTACCACAACAAGCAACAAAAAGACCTTTCTTCATGGACGGTTTCGTGGCAGCAACCGTTTTGTTGCGCTTGACTTGGAGGTGGAAAGGGAGGCCGAAGCAGATGACCCCACTCTTGGCAACGACCAAGAACAGGACGCTGATAAAGCTTACTCTTCCACCCAAGAATCTGAGATCAATAACAAAGATGAAAAATTTGGTGCCTTCAAAAGGACTACCCATACTAAGGGAAACCAAAACCAGAATTTAGTCAGGAACTTGGTCGCACTCCCTAAGGGGGTCAAAATCCCAGCCAATCCGGAGGATGTAAGTACTAAACTTGGATGGACCTCCGGATCAGTGAGGATGAATGGAATGCTAGGATAAAGAAAGGAGGTTGCATACATTGCCAGAAATCTAATCATAAGGTTCATGGATGCTTTAGGCTGCAGGGAAACCTGAAGTGGGTGTAGACACTGTAGAGGACTCGTCGGCACACTCTACAGCAAGGGAGTCTGAACCGGTCAAAGATAGTTCTCCAAAAGAACATGTACCGGACCAACAATCCTCCCTTGAAGCCCCATCTTCTGCTAATACCAAGGCTAATGGATGTAATGTTTTGTATGTTGAGCCTTGGGAGGAGTCAGAGAAGGTTGACTTTCACTATCACCTAGAGCATTGGGCTGAGATGAAACAACAGCGTGCTCAAGGGACAGCAAAGTTGATTTTTTTCAAACTTTTCATTAACCACCGCTATCTCCGTGTTTTGATTGATTGTGGTGCCACGATTTATTTCATGTCACTGTACGAGATACGCAAAGTGGGCTTGGGGATGAAGCAAGTGGCTTTGCAGAGCTCTTGTCGAACTCAAGTAGGCAACAAAGAGGTCGTCTCATCTACATATGCAGTCAAAGGTGTGCACACTACCTTTGACAAAGAAAAAACTATCATACACGCGTTGAACTTCTATGTCCTTGACAAGTGTCCCTTTGACACAGTTCTCGGGTTGGGCTGGTTGCAGTCCCAATGCGAATGCACCAAGTGGAAGAAGCCGCTTTTCATGGTCAAAGATGCACAAGGGAACGAGCGTCCCGTCCTCTTAGATGAGAAGCTTGACTCCCCGGTGACCTTTCTTAATGTCATGCAGTTCTGCAAGATGTGACGCAAGGATAAGGAGGATGAACAGTTGTATGTTGCCTTTGTTCATCCTACTCATGTACCTTCTACTTTTGCGGTCGGTAATAATTCTACTTTGCATGATAAATCTACTTCTATCGCTACACCTACTTCAATTCAAAATGAGTCTACTTTCAAATTCGGTTACCTTCACTAAGAACTTGCGACCTGATCTAGGTGATCCTTTTTCTGGTCCCCCAACCCCACCGATCCCAACAATCATCCAAAGCCTACTCGATCGATTTCCGGAAGTTTTGGCCGAACCCTATGGAGTTCCCACGTGATCGGTCCGACACACGATTGAGTTGGTCGAGGTGTTGTTCCTCCAAAAGGTTGTGTATACCGTATGGGATCCGGCGAGTCGGAGGAACTCCCTGAACAGATCGATGAGATGATCGACAAGGGATGGATTAAGCCTAGTGAATTTGAATTTTGTGCACCCGTTTTGTTTGTCCCAAAGAAAGGAGGCAAATGCATAGATGATTTGCTTGATGGTACATGTGGCTGCAAGGTCTTCTCCAAGATCGATCTCAAGTCAAGATACCACTAGATTGAAGTCGATCCTACGGACCAGCATAAGACTGCATTCAAGATACGAGACGGGCCTTACGAATTTACGGTAATGCCATTCGGTCTCACGTACGCACCGACCACCTTTCAAAGCCTTATGGACAAGGTCGTCCACGAACGGATTGGTCGGTTTGTGGTTGCGTATCTCGATGACATTCTGATTTTCAGCAAATCAATCGAGGAACATATGAAGCACCTTAGGGAAGTGTTCAGTGTTCACCATCCTCAAGAAAACGGAACTCCATCTCAACTTAGAGAAATCTGAATTTTGGAGGGACCGTGTTATCTATCTTGGGCACCGTTTGTCTGCTGCAGGCCTCGAGCCTCAGGCAACTGAGGTTGAGGTCATACGCGATTGGCCTCAACTCGCGAACATCCACAAATTGCGTTCTTTCCTTGGTCTTGCGTCGTACTATCAGAAGTTCATGCCCCGATTTTCTATTGTTGCTCGCCCGTTGTCCAAACTGGCAAGCAAGAACGTCTCTTACACATGGGATGCAACATGTGAGACCACTTTTCATGCCTTGAAAGAGACCTTGATAAGTTACTCTGTACTCCGCATTGCAAATTCCAAACTCACATTCGTAGTCACTACGGATGTGAGCCAGTATGGGATTGGAGCAGTGCTGCAACAAGAGGACGGAGATGGCTTGAGGCCGCTTGAGTACTACAACAAACGCATGCCCAACGAAAAGGTAGCTACTTCCACCTACATGCGCGAGCTCTATGCTTTACGTATGGCCTTGGACCACTGGAAGCACTATCTTTTGGGTCGCCACTTCAAAGTCTTCTCAGATCATGAGACTTTGAAATGGATAAAGGAGCAAACCACCTTGTCCCCTACATCGACTCGCTGGTTCCATTGACATTTTTTATAATCGAGTTGTTGATGCACTGTCTCGGCACCCCGAGTATATGACTTGCCTTGTGAACTCCTACGACCTCTGGAAGAAACTGAAGCACGTGGAGCAAACTGCCAAGGACTCGAGAACCTTAGCCTAGTCCTTGAGCAGTTGCGGGCTAACCCAAGCAGTCGGCCTGATTTGCACGAATGTGAAGGACTGGTTTTCCGACGCTATGGAAAGCATGACCGTTTGTGTGTACCCAACCATGAGCCTCTCCGCACACACTTCTTGGACTTGGCTCACGGTCGGAGTGGACACTTCGGTATGGCAAAGACTTATGGAAACCTATGACAACAATTTGATTGGCCTAGTATGAAAGGATCTACAGAAAAGTTTGTGGTTGGGTGTCAAGTCTGTCAACGAATCAAACGATCAAGACAAAAGCCCATTGGGCTGCTTAAACCTCTTCCCATTCTCGACGGTCCCGAAGAGTCTGTCTCTATCGACTTCACAGACATGGGAAAGATAAGTAAGAATGGTTATTCACATGTGATGGTGATTGTTGATAATTTTTCCAAATTTCTAAATTTGATTTCATTGCCACCTCGTGCCAAAAACTGAAGTTTTGATCTGGGAGTTCCACCAGAAGTACATTCTGCAGCTCGGACCCTCGAAAACCCTTGTGAGTGATCGGGACCCGCGCTTTATAAGTAGTGAATGGAAGGACTTCACGCCCCAACTTCATGGCCTCAAACTGAGCATGACATCTGGCGGACATCAGGAAGCCAACGGTTCGGCTGAGGAGATCAACCAAACTGTGTTCCAACTTTCCCGTGCTTTAATCATTCCGGATAGGGAAACGTGGGATGAAGAGTTGTATTCAACTCCATCCATTTCTCCACCGGCATGACGCCAAACAGGCTGCATTACAATTGGCAGATTCATAATCCGCTCCCCTACTTATTCCTTGAACAGTTGGCTGGTTTAACACCCGGCAGGCCTGGCCTCAGTGCCAAATATGATGGCTTGCTCAAAGTTGCCATTGCAGCAATGACCAAGCGACAACACGCCATGATCCATCATGCGAATAAGAAACGTCAACCTTCAGATACTAAAGTGGGAAGTTATGTCTGGTTTAAGATGTCTGAATTTTCGGAAGAAGAGGGAGTGTCACGTAAACTTCTCCCTCTCTATTATGGTCCGTGGGAAGTTCTAGACGTGATTGGCAAGGATGAATTTGGCCTTTCATATACAATTGTCGTGCCTCCTCATCTGCACACATACCCAGTCTTTCATGCATCAAAGTTATATATACATCATGATGCTGAGTCCTTCGACTATCGTGAAGACATGATTCCTCGTGCACTCAATGACGGTCATGAGATCGATAGGATCAAACAGCACGTAGGGAAGGGACGCAATATACAATATCAGATTCATTTCATGTATCAGCCGTTGGACGATCTCTATTGGATCTCAAAGAAGGAACTGCTGTGCAACACACCTCACGTTGTTAAAAGCCTACGAACGACAAATAGCCTCTAATGCTGTACCAAAAATCTCTGCAAAACTCGCTGCTACTGAGTACTCACAAAATCTCTTTGCTATGTTTGCTTACAATGCGGAACTCAAAATGAGTTACTCGCTCGAAGGGACCTCACTCTTAAGAGGGGGGTAATGTAATGACCTGCCAAACACGGACTGAGACACACAACTGATTTCTGAGTTTTGCTCATGCAATGAATGCCTTGCTGAGTCTCCCGCTTGTAGCTGAGTTCTCTGAGTCTGTGTGTGTGCATGCTTGCTAGTCTGTATGCCTGTCTGAGTGCTCGTCGGCTTGAGTGTGTGTGTGACCCGCATTCGTTCAGAGGGCCCGAAGGGCTGGTACTTACCTATGGCCGTGACATTGAGGGTTGCAATGGGGAAAACACTCAAGTGGCGGGGAAAGAGGCCCGTGACACTTGAAGCACCGGAAAACACTCAAGTAGCAGGTAGGCCGGTACCACACCAGGTAGAGGTAAATGTGTCGGGTGCACGAGGCCGAGCAGACGAAGACACAAGTTGGGATTTTTAGAGGCCCAGTAGTTGTAGGCTAGGTCTAGGCGGGTACCAGTCCAACCAGTCTAAGTCTAGGGCCTGTATGGGCAATATCAGAGTCTGCAATGATGTTTCCCTCCGAAAGGGAGGAGGTACCGAACGGCCAATATCAGAGTCCAACCAGTCTGAGTCTAGGGCCTGTACCGGTTGCTTGGAGGCCGCGCAGCCTAGGAAGTCACTCGCCAAGAGGCAAGCAGGCCACTATATCTCCAGGAGGAGCAAGGTGCTCCTCCTCATTGTCGGTGTGCAAGTTTGGCGACACACTGGTTGGACCGCTGGCTGGAGCAGCGCTAGCTTGAAGCAGCGCTGCTGGGAAAGAAGCAAGGACACGGAGGAGGAAGAAGACCAGGACTAGGAAGGGGGAGCGCCAGAGGTACTTACCTGGCTATGGTGGTTCCCATCTTCATCACCTTGGTGGGTGCTGCAGCAGGAAGGCCCCAGTTGGGGTAGAGCTACACCAAGAAGCTTTGAGGCAGAGTCAGGCATGGCGGCCTGAGCTAGAGCAGCCATAGCTGCTTTGTGTTGTCCTTTGGACAGCAGGGTGATGCCCTGGTAGTCCACCATAGCCTCGGCCTTGGAGGAAGGAGGAAGAAGGCCGGCCATGGCTATGGTGGACCTCAAGTGATGCCTACAGGAGAAGTGGGATTCGGACATTGATTCTGGTTCAGCCATTCAACATTGTTATTAGGAGGAGGAGAGTAGTTGGCGAAGAAGAAGAGCATTATCATTGTCCGAATAGTTGGCGAAGAAGAAGGAGGAGAGTAGTTGGCGAAGAAGAAGAGCATTATCATTGGTCTATGCTGGTGTACATCATCTTCTTCTTCTTTCTTTCTTCTTCTTCTTCTTCTTCTTCTTCTTCGTCTTCTTCTTTCCCTCTCTCTCCTCTCAAGTTCATTCAGTTCTTTTTGCAATTGGACGGCATTGTACTTTCTGATGAATGTGTACTTCGAAATTGGCCAGGATCATAACAGTTCGATTTTTTCATTTTTCTGTGAAATGCAGCACAGAAAAATGATTTTGTGGATTCTCGGCACAGATTGATGGTTTGGATTATTGGCATGAATTGCAGGCTGCAAAGGTAACCTTCAAAAAGCCAATCGACAGCGTGAGTGTCTCTGGGCACAAATTTGTGGGTTGCCCAATGCCATGCGGCATCCAGATGACAAGAATGTGCCACATCGAACGGCTCTCGCGCAATGTAGAGTACCTGGCCTCAAGGGATGCTACCATTATGGGCAGTCGAAACGGGCATGCTCCAATTTATCTGTGGTATACGCTCAATCGCAAAGGATACCAAGGCTTCAAGAAAGAGGTCAGTTTCTTAAACCTTGTTTCTCTTTTTTCTTTCTTTTTGGAACTTATTTGTTCCCTACTTCCCACCGGTCATCTCAGTCATTTACGGTTTTTACCAGTAATACTAAAAATAGTAACTTCGCAGCATTCTGAACTTGATCTGTTGTTGTAGCGTTGTTACTATTTTTAGTATTTTACGGTTTTTAGTAACTTTTACCAGTAATATGAGATGTGATTGGGAGAGCGAGAGAGTCTAATTAGTAATCACTAGATGCTAATTAATTAGTGAGATTAGACCTCACACCGCTCTTGCTCTGCCAAAGTCTGCCCCACAACTGCTCTCATTGTTTACAGTTGAAGAAGGGGCGAACTGTGCCGCAGGGCTGATCACTGCGGCTCCTCTGATTGTTTGCAGGCGGAGCAAACAAATAGCAGTGAAATGTGTCTGTTAGACTAATAAATAATAATAGCATAATACATATCTTCCTAAACCTCCTCCTGCTGAAATCCTTCCATCAGATTCTCTCTTTTCATCTGCCTTTGTTGTTATCCTGTGTTAGTCACGATTTGGGAGGAGTTTGATCAAGCAAGGGAAGGTAGATTCTCACTCAGGGCGTACTCACACCAGCACTTTCCTAAATGTATCTGACCGTAAGTAATTACGGCAAGACCGGGATGAGTCTGACTGCAATCAGGTCCAGAGCTGAGTAGAAAAAGTCCACGTGAGTATGCCTCGACTTGGTGAATGACTTTAAAAAAAACGGCAGTTGCTGCCGCCGGTTTCCGTCCAAAAACTGGCAGCAATTCCCCTTTTTTTTTAAGAAATCCACCAGGGTTGTCAGGCCTGAAAGGCCTTGCGAGGGGCTCAATCCTCGCAAAGCACAAAACAGCAGCTTTGCATCTTTCTTGAAATTCAGTCGTCTCGCTTAGGGAGATTCTACTGCAGTGTACGTTCAGTAAGAGTTCAACGACAAGTTCGTGGCAATATCAGTGTTCCAGACCTTTTTTTTTTTTTTTTTTTTTTTTTTTTTTTTTTTTTTTTTTTTTTAAACAGGGCCTTATGGTCCTGGCTACTTCTATTCTGGGGAGCACAGGGTCCAGACTTCTCATTGCTTCTGGAAGTTGTGCTGCAGTGTATGTTCAGCTGAGGCTTGACTAAAACTATATACAAAAAGCTTGAAAAAGCTGGCGATTTCACGGTTTTCTGGAGGGGATGCAAGGATCTGGGTCCTCGGCAGGCCTAAGAGGGCCCCTACTGCAGATGTGCCCGCTCTAAGTGAAGGCGGGCCTAACAAATCATGAGAGGCCCTCAGCTGTCAATTTCGTATTTGGGGGTCCAGGCAGTTCCGACGCGCCAGTCGGTTGAGGCAAAACGCAGGCCGAGCAGCAGCGCACATTCCACGGCCTTCCAGGCCATTCCAAAATGCAGGCCCTGGGCGAGAATCGCAGCCTCATACACAGACAGTTGGGAGGCCCAACTGAACGGAGGCCCAGCAGCAGCATCGGAGGCACTGCCTCCCGGGGCCTACCGGAAGCTTCTGGGTAGAGGCCCAGGCCAGCCAGGCCGCCGGGAGAGGCAGGTTCTTTCCAAAAAGGAAAGAGCTCGCTGCCTGGCCAGGCATTCGGGCACTCGCATACTAGTGGCAGCGCTGCCGGAGCGGACGCTCGTGGGCTGCTGCTGGCGCTGAGAGGCGAGGTGCTAGCGCACGCGGTCGTGCAGGGAGCAGGGCACTGCTGAGGGCAGCACCATAGCCCAGCCTCCATAGCTGGTTAGGCTTGGACTACAGTGAGGCGCAGGGTTGGTGTTTGGGTGTACAGAGGGAAGACGTGGGAGTGAGACAGGGGAGAGAGAGAGAAGGATGATGATGATGATGATGATGATGATGTGAGAGCACGTACCTGGTATTGGTGATGGTCTGCATGGGCGAAATCTTCAAGTATTTCGTAGGCTGATGACGTCAACAGTTGCATTGTCAATTAGTAGGCAGAGAGTAGCTGTGTAGGAAGTAGGCTGGGCGCCGAGCGCCAAGTAGGGAGATAGGGCCTGGACACTCGTGTTGGTGGTGGCGAGAGCAAGCTCTCATTGACATTGGTTTTCAGTGTTACGATTCTTCATTGGTGTTATATTGGTGCATTTCTGCTTTCTGGACACTGTGATACTATCTGGCCTTCAATGTGATTGTGCAATCTGGTTATTGTCATCTCGCTACTGCTCATTTTCCTTGCAGGGAGGTCTCGCCTCTGACAGTTCTGCTGCAATCTGTGTTCAGTAAA